TGTATTTTTACATTTTTTACAGCCAATAGAATTGCTGTATTTTTTTATTTTTGTTTTTTTTTAATGCCCTCCCCCCATTCTCATAAGCGACCTTTATGTTATGTTAAACAGAAAATTAAATTGGAGTGGCCTAATATAAGCTTACTATATATAAATAAATAAATTGACTAATAGCCTTTAAGCTAGCGACTAAATCTAAAATTAAAGATATATATATATAATTATTACTATCCATTGTCTTGATCTCGTGTATAGAGTTTCATGACATCAGACTTATCTATCAGCTAAGCCGCTAAGCTATTAAAAATCGGGTCTACCACAAAATCTCGTTCCCGAAAGAACATAATACCGACTAAATTGGCCAGCATTATAACTAATGCCGGCGAACTTTGTCGGTATTAGGTCCTTTCGGGATTTTGTGGTAAAACCTTAAAAATTTAATTGCTTAGTCAAGCCGAGTCAGCTTGAAACACTACTATAAACATAAAAATAAAAATAAATTTAAATTTAAATTTCTTAATACAAGAGAATATTTAACATTGTCTCATGCCTTATTCTGGATTATAGATGGAACATTTAAATAGTTCTTACACTTTTTTTACAATACATACACCCTGGTTTATGTACTTATGACTCAAAAGTCTGAAGGTATTAAAAGACTCTATGTCTATGATTCTAAGGAATACCAATAATTATACAATTGAAGATTATTTACCCCCAATTGGCATCTATTGCAAAATGGGGTTGTACCTGGTGATTTATCTTCATTTCTACTATATTTCTGGCATTGACAAAAATACAGAAATAGGAGAAGTCAAATTTGAATGTATAATTCAATTTAAAGATAAATTTCACAAGAAAAATATTTTTAGTGATGATGACTATTCATTTTTTGGAAATAGTGGGCCAATTTATGATTAGAATTCCCAGAACACAAAATACTGTAGAAGCATGGCATACTCATTGGAATACATTAGTTGGAAGTGTCTATATAATAACAAAGGAGTTACAAAAAGAACAAAAAAAGAACAAATTTTTATTGATATAATATCAATTATATTTGACTATAATAGTATTAGAATTTCATGATACTAGCCTTATATTAGAATGCTATCATCAAAAAATAGCTTAGTATCTTACCCCAACTACTACCTCTGCAAAAAAGAGTTATTGTTTTTATTATAGTTATAATTTATTATTATCTGTTATTATTATTACTAGACGGGTTGTGTAATACATATATACAGTATAACATAATTTTGAAAACAATTTGAGTCTAACTCTTAGTTTCAACCGGTGGTTTTAAATACAGGAATAGATAATTGCTACATTGGCTAAAACCCGACGTCCAATACAAAATCTAAAAAAAAAGCTTGCAAAGACCCAGGCATAATGTGAGTGCTGCCAAAGGAAAAGGGAACATTCGTTTTTATTGATTATTTATCTGATGATCGACAACACATCGGGCTTTCAATTATGATAAACTTAGTGAAAGCCCGATATGTTGATCAGATAAATAATCAATAAAAACGAATGTTCCCTTTTCCCTTGGCGTCACTCATATACTATAATGGCAAGAAACATACTCCGCATTTATAATAGAATATAGTAAACCAGTATAGCATAGCTTGTTAGATGAGTATAGTATACATTATGTATAGTAAATATACCGAAGGTATAACTTTTACAGTTTAAAACATACGGTATGTATATTTTTTTATGGCATTTATTTTACATAATTTATAGTTTATACAATATGTATAACTGCTATCGATTTTGTGGATTATGACTCCACTCTATTCAGTGGATTTAAAATTAATCCGTCAAATCTTTATATACTGTAAATTTTTTAAAACGACTGAGTTGCAAGTACATCCCCATCTTGATTTGAAAGAAATCTTAATGGACGTTATAATACAAGAATATTATGATTTTCGTATTAAAGTTCTTCAATATTCATTAAATACAACTATTGAAACCGCTAAAGATTATTATTAATTGATTCTGAGTCAATTTTAAATCAATATATTGGTACTTATTAAATTGAACTCAAATTTTCCAACAAGATAGCCAATTTAGATTTCGTCAATTTATGCAATTTGAATCCAAGTAAAAAATATTTTTGCTCGATTCTACTTATGTGTAATTTTTTTTTATTACTGCGCCTTTAAATACCCATCAAAAATTTCTTTAAATTCTCTGTTTTTATAAATTGTCTCCACAATATTCCAAAGATTCTCTTTGAAAACTAATTTTCTATCATATTTATTATTATATTAGATCTTTGTTTTGTTAACCAAACAATGAAAAGTTTGATCTAAGCCATTTCGAATTCTGTAAATTAATAGGGTTCGAAAACAGCCTTAAACATCTTTATTAAAAGCTCGAAAAAAAAAAAAAAAAACATAAATAATGTTAGAATAAAAATTAATTATTCCCGACTCTCGTGTAGTGTGTTAGTAACTCGTATCAATTAATTTTTTACTTTACATTATACTAAGTGTATAATTTTTTTACCAAAATTATACGGAATGTATAATATATTTTAAAATTTTATACTTAATGTATAAGTTTTCAATAAATAATATACATTCCGTATAATATTGTATACTATACTCCTTTGACCGACTATACTATACATAATATCATAAAATATGGAAAATAAGCACAGTACCCTCTACCCTACTTTTTTCAATTTCAAATTAGCGGAAATAACAATAAAATTTTATTAAGTTATCCCCATTAATCTGAAATTGAAAAAAGTAGGGTAGAGGTTCTGTGCTTATTTCCACATTTTACGGTAATAGTTTAATTGGTTAATAGAGACTGTGCTTTGCACCAGGTATATTGCACAAGAGAGGTCAAAATACAAAGTATCTATGAAATTTTTGGTTTCTCTAATCCTTCAATCATCACCTGAGCGACCACATATTCTCCATCGTGTGCGACTGAAGCGTGAGTTTTCGAAATAGTCGTGTCATTGTGAATAGTTACGTGAGGTTTTCCTATTTAATGAATTAATGCATATATATTTTCAAGAGAGCGAAAGTAGAATAAAAAAAAATCAATAGGTACAAAGACAGTATACAGACCTTTTATTTTTTTGATGGAAACGTCTTTCCATGCTATACAATTGTGAGGGTATAATGCTTTATATGTCGCTTCTTTTAGAGTCCATCTTTTTGAAAAAAAACTTTAAAAAATGGATTCTTTAATTAGTACCGAAAAAATTATAACAACCTTACAGCCAAGTATGATACAATTTTATGTTCTATCGTTATATGATTATCGCGAGTGTTTAAGATTGATGAAAATGTATAATGAAATTCCTTCGACTCATCAGAAGTTAATATTCGAGATGTAAATTTTTTAAGAGAAGATGGAGTGCGGGAAAGGAGAGCTTTGAGACGTGGAAGGTGAATAATGTCAACGCCTATTCCTAATATCATCATAAACCAAATTTTTATTGTTATCGGTGAGGGTAAGCAGAAGAGTCCCATTATTTTGTTAATTATGTTGACAAACTCGTGTTTGTGGGACAGAAGATAGCATATCAACATTCTAATTCTCAGTACAACAATAATGCTGTAAAAGTCTTTGACCACATACATAATTTTAAATGTTTTGAACTATTTTGCATTCACAAAATTATTTAAATAGGTTATAGTAGATTTTTATATTTTGTCCATATTTTTTTTTATATTATAAGATCGTTTTTTTGTCAATGAATCAATCGTATATGCTAAAACTAATACTGTATACTGCATTCGAATTATCATAAATGTTGAAAATAACAATGTCTTTTGAAATATCAGCCGAATATACACGACCTACTCCTTTGCCAATTTCTTTGATAATAGTCTATTAAATGAAATCCATTCAATCACATATTCATATACATAAGTTGAACCTCAATACCCTACCTAGTTTTACTTGATTATTTTAGGATTATAATGTGTGATACCGGTATATTCATTTCAATGCATACATTTTCCATATCTAATCTAAACCTCTTTATACAGTATCATTATTTGGTATTTTACATATCGATATCAAATGATTTTTAATTAAATTTTAATACAATATCCACATTTACTAACAATTATTATTTAATAATTACAGAAGTAAACAGGTTTTTTTTTATTCACGAACTACAATGAAATTATCAATTCGTAGCATCTAAAATAGTGCTATTTCTACCAAATTGCTACAAATAGCTAGCTATATACATTGTTTATGTGCTACGTATGATATTCATACAACAATTTTAAGACTTCCTTTTGTTTGCAGACAATTAGTGATTTTTTTGAATTTATAGATATATTGGCCGGATTCCAATTAGGTATATTAAATGCTCATCTATTAAGGTATCATTTTTCTTATCGTTATCTGTTATCAATTGTTTGACGTATCAAGAAAGATACTTTAATCAATGGGTAGTGTACACGTAGACAATTGCTAACTTGCTACTTTTGTTATTTTTGCTGGCTATTTTTGCTAGCTATTTTAACTATTAATAGATGGAAAATGAATTTTTTTTTGGAGTACTCATACACTCGTACACTCGATTACCTTGCTTAGCACGTTGATTGATCCGATTTTATGTAATTGTTCAGAACAATTACAAAAAAGATCTTCAATCAATGTGCTAAGGTAATCGAGTGTACGAGTGTCCGTTTTCAGAAAATATATATTCATAACCTGAACGGCTTTTACCTAGGTTAATAAATTTTCCCGAATAAATTGACGCAAATAAAATAAAATTGAATATAAGTTATACATAAATAACTTATTTATTGCAAAAAAAAAAGAAATCGTTGATTTCTGCAGAAATAAAAGTTGTAGATTCATAATTTGTAACATATTTTGATTTAACATCTTTTGTAGGAATAAAATTTGCATATTCATAATGTTGTAAAGAACTTGATTGTGTAATATTAAATTTTGTTTTTTTTCTAGCACGATAAAATTTACTGTTGCATGATAAGCAAGAAGAAAATTTAAAAGTTGCGCCAAATTCAATCTTGTAAGAATTATTACATTATACTAGATATTTAATTTGTTTAGAATCATGGAATTTCAAAGTAAAAACATAAGGAAGTTTAGCATATTTTTTTTTATTGATATATATACAGTATATATTTCATTACAATAAATTCTAGAAGTAAATACTTTGTGCATCCAAAGCATGTTCCAGGATAATAAATTTTGTCATTACGTATAAATGTTTTTTTTTTAAAAAAAAAAGAAGTTCAGGAGAGATGGCGAAAGTTTTTAAAACATCCAACCAGTCGACCACAAGACCCGAGTTGAGAAATTTTAATTCAATAGAGTGGGGTTTTTTAGCACTGTAAGAAAAAATGTATGTTAAATAAATATATATATGCTAAGTCTTTATATGAGTGCCGCCAAGGGAAAACCCCTAATCGGGCTTTCAATTATATTTTGTACCGGACATATTCTCTAAGAAAT